ATGAGCTCTAACTCCACCCTTTCACCATGGCATACTTGTTTCACCCTCCTTCCTTCCTTTGAAACAATGGACGCCATCAGAGCACAAACCAAATGCGACTTCAAAGGCTCTGCATACAAAACCATCTTTGTTTACTAACCTTGCACTAACAAGTTACTCCCTTTATGAGATAGACAATTTTCACAGTAATGAAAAATCCTAATTTGCACCATTGCTCCACCATAGAGGGCCTTCTTATCACATTAAACGTGTGGGATAGGAAGGATCAGATCAGACTACTTATTTTGCTCATCCTACTCCAGTTGAACATTCAATAACTTGAGGACAAAGTGTGTTCAAATCAACTACTCTTGGTGTAACTTTACATTATGCAACATAAGCCTCCAGAGCATCAACGTGCCCTCCTTTCCTCACATCCATCTTCATGATAATACTTTTGACTTCTCAACCTACAATTCCAAAAGTCTCCCATCATAATCAGATTTCACTTTTGCTTACTATATTCTTTTTACGAGGCAGAATGTTGTTCAGAATAAATAATTGTCAGATTTTATCGACTAATTTGTTTGTCTGTTTATTACTACTTTATGCTCTTTTTTGTTGTTTCTTTTCCCCTTCCTTTTCCCATTGACTTTCTTTTCATTATTTCATTTTATTTTACTTTCTACTTTTTCTCTTGTTTGTTTGTTTGTTTGTTTGGTTGTAGTTTTTGGAATGTTTCAGAACTGAACTTTGTTGCTCCTTTGATTCCTGAAAAATCAAAGTTGAAGATCAATAAAAAGATTTGTAACATGATCAAGTTTTGATGACATCTTATAAAACCCAATGCTACTTGAACTATGCTTTATTTAGAAACATTCTTTCGAAAGTTGCTCCATCTTTGTGTGAACAACACATGAATCTAGTTGACAAAGTGATTCAAATTAAATTACTATGCACAATAGTAAAGTACTTATCTTTTGCATGTGTATACATCTTATATATTTCATCAAAAAAATCTAAACTTTATAAATTTAACACATTATCCCCCGTATATATATATATATAGAGAGAGAGAGAGAGAGAGAGAGAGAGAGAGAAAAAAGATGTATATACATACAAAAGATAAATCCTCACCATTCTCTCTCTTTCAAATATATATATATATATATATATACACACACATGTATATATAGAAGAGTAGGGATGGTGGGTTATAATTGCACTTAAAAGAAATCTGATATCAATTGAAAAGGAGTTGGACTTTTGTAAACCACAATCAATAAGAAGGTTAAGAGGGTTCAATTAAAGATCACTGAAACTCAAATGCTTTGAACATTAACACAAGACTGCAAAAACACACTGAAAGGCCCTAACAAATGCTTGACTTCTGTTGTTAAATATCAAGTGGATGTTGAGGTTTTTTCACTTACCTTCATCTGAAAATAATGAAAGATAAGCTCATCCCACCACAATTTCTTCTGACCCAAAAAACCCACACAATTGATTTTTTATATTTGTTTTATAAATATGAACGCTCAAAATCAAAGGTAGGAGTTTTTTTAATTAAATTTAAAAAATGTCATTACTACACCCTAATCCTGAAACTTAAACTTGAATGCTAACCCCAAGATCAAAACCCTGAAGCTCACACAAGGAAATTGGATATTCTTCATGTTTAATGTTTGAGGAATTAGTCAATGTCAATGAAAAATGTGTCAACAATTATGGGCATAAAGAAAGTTAATGCTTTGACTCGGTGGAAAAGAGCTTGATAATTAAGGAAGCATCGTTTTTATAGGATTAGTACACTTTGCTTGGAACGATTAGAGTTATGGGGAAGAAAGAGATGACTTTATTAATCTATTCTGAATATGAAGATATACATATATACATTTTTTTTTTTTTTTTTGGGTTCATTTACTGCTATGATTGATTCATATCTGGACCATCTATTAATGTAAAAATCCAAGGAAAGAATATCTCCTGTTATTAATGCGTCCTAGCTAAGAAAAAGGCTATAACACCACCTCCATGTGATTGATTTTTTTTATCATTTCAATACACGTATGTCATAAAAAAAAAAGTGTTTGTGAGCTGGGTATATTGTTCCTTAAAGTTGTAAAACACAAAGAAAAAAACGAAACAAAGATGTTTATAAAAATGTATAAACTAACTTACACATGAATAAAAACAGAACAGTATATAATGAAAGAACCAGGTTTTAAAGCTTTATAACGAAAATGAAACAATAAAAATAAAATTAAATGTATAGCATGTTCATAAATAAATGAAAAAGATAGCATCAAGGAGAAGGTCCATGTAAATTATCCTCCTGAAGTTTTTCAATTTCATCCACAAAATAATGGCTTTTAACATTAATTTCTTTTTAAAAATACAAGTATATATATATATATATATGTATGTATGTGTGTGTGTGTGTAATTTTTAAATAAACGATTTCCTATACATAAAAATTAAAATGTGTGAGAAGCTTACCAAACTCTGCATATAATTTAAATAAAAAAAATACAAATCTCAATCACAAGAATAGATTTTGAAAAAAAATAAAAAGAATACATAAATTCCTACGTGTCAACGACGAAGTCGTATTCATTCATCCACATCGACAGAGCGGATGGAGGTTGGGGCTTCCCACCCCATGCCCGCTAGGTACCCTATAACCGTGCATAAAGGACAAAACCCTCTTCATATTCTATCTATCCCCTCCTCCTCCTCACATGGAATGGCTCTTTCTTGTCCAATAATGCATTCTCCCCCTTCTCCTCTCCCCATTTTGCAACCCTAATTTGGCCCTTCCTCCCTTCCATTCCATTCCATTCCATCATCTTTGTTTGGTGCCCCCAAGTTGGCATGTAGTAAGGTTGGTTTATTAGAGTGGTTGGTTTTAATTCATTCCTAATATAGCATGGCCCACACCCCCCCCCCCTACTCCCCTTCTTTGGCCCATTTAATCATGTGGTAGGCTTTTATCAAGCATGGATAATAAACAAAGCTGCTTTTATTCTCTCTCTCTCTCTCTCTCTCTCACACACACAAAATCAAACATGATATGCCATGTCAGCAGCAACCCATTAAGGCAAAACTCTCCATCATCCCACTACATTTTGTATTCATTGTATTGTTCTTGGAGTTGTTCTCGTTTCTCCTTCATCTATTTATTAATCGAGAAAACCCATTTCATGTAAATTGATAGACTTCATTTGGAGCTTACACGAAAAGTTTTTATTTATTTTCCAAGTTCCCTATTGGAAGTGCCATGAAAAAATGTGCTTATTTCACACCAATGTGAATGTAAGGGTTAACATACAAAATAAGTAAACATGAAATCAATGTGTCAAATGTGAACAATAATCCCATGACCCAGCTCAGCCACTCACGCCATGAGGGTTATTTATTTATTTTTTTCACTTTTAGGGTTTCGGAGCTGTTTCCGAGGCATGGTTTCGGAGATCCTTGTTTGCATGTGTGTGCGTGTGTGTGTGTGTGTGTTTTTCCCAATTCTCGCGTTCCTTTAGAGTGTTTCTCGGCATCGATGTGCTCCGTTGCCTTGTGCCCACCCGCAAATCCAAAAGGAACCAAGTCGATTGCTGGATCCGGGTGTGGGTTGGATTGTGTGTTGGGGTGGCAGAACGACGGAGCTTGGGACGGAGAGAAGGTGCAAGAGGGGTTTTGTTTGCAGCGCAGAATTAGAAAGCCGAGAGGGAGGATGAGGATGTGGTCTCATTAATGCCGGAGTTAATAACCGACAATGGGGAGGATGATGAGGGCGGGGATCAGGGTTCGAAAAGGTAGACCACTTGAAGAAGAGGGGTAGTAGAGTTGATTGCACACAATAGTAAAGTCGGAATTGCTGCTGCTGCGGTGGCCACATGTGCAACGAATCCGGCTCCTCCTCACGGAACCTCTGCTTTGACTGCTCGGAGGCCTTCTTCGATTAACTTAGCCCCCCTCTCATGCCTGCACTCGGGAGAAATTTTTACAGCGAGCTCTGGGAGAAAATTTAGAGTAAAATGCCATCTGTTGGCGATTTGCAGGAAAGCAGTCCGTCAGTCAATGAGAGGGATTCGCTCATGACCCACCCCTAATCACCAGAATCAAGCTCTGAAACTCGAGTGGGTGACGGAGCTTTGACGGAGGGAAGTAGATTGGCTGACCTGGCCTAGCTTGCTCTGCATTACCCACCTTTTTTTTTTCTCCCCCTTCTGAAAAGAAACTTGAATATTGTCTAGAGTACACAAGACTAAGCGTTTGTTTACGAAAAGTTTCCTGCGCAATTTAAGCTGCGCATGTACTTTGTACAACTCTATTTGTTTTTGTTTTGGTTTTGTTTTGTTTTTTGTTTTTTGGGTTTCTTGCACCTGAGTTAAGGTGGATGGTCTAAGGTAGTCTTGATTTCATATGTGGCGAACACGGATCTCGTTCATTAGGATAATTTACTGGGGAGTATAATGAGGGGCTTTGCCACGTATGGAAAGAAAAGTGAACCCCACATGACAAGCTCTTTCTTCAGGAGGTGGAAACTATAGTGGGGCTCTTGAATGTGCCCATGGGAGGGTTGATCCCGGATTACAGGTCAGAACTTGCGCAGTCGGTCAATGCAAAAAGCAAAGACAAGATCCTCAGCAGTTATGTTAATTAACGCTAAGATGAAAGAACCATGCATTTAGAAGCTGTCACATTGATTCTCTTCTGAAAAAAAACGAACTTGTGAAACAAAATAAAATGCCGAAACCAACTTCAGAAGACCTAAATCCCTACCGAAGCCTTTCACCAGAAAAGAAGGACGAGAAGGTGGTTTCTGTTCCTGAGAAAAGCTTGAATGTGGCGACGCTCCCACCCACGGCCAAGTTGCAAAGCTAAAAAAAACTGATTATGGGAGGATCACGAACCTCTTTGAGTGAGAGTCAAGGAGAAGTGATTGCGTGGGACACTGTCAATCGATTTAATTTGGGCACAGATTTTCATCCCGAGGAGACAGATTTTTTACTGTAAATGAGTGGAATCAACGTCAGTCAACGAGATCATTAATCAATGGGCACTTGCAATCGACTTGAGACACCCAGAAGCAAAAAAGCCTATCGTAGATGATGCCGGTCACCGAGAGTAGAAAAAAACCTCCTCCTTCGAAGCTCACACGGTCTAGAATACGAAGCTATTATTCTGTTGGCGGCGGACGGTCCCTCACATATATGAACATTGGAGTGAACTACTGACATGACCATCTGCCTCTCATTTGTTGCTTGATAGTTGGCCATCTCGCACTGCGGAGCACTCTTCAGCTCCCACTTCACGCACACACAGACACCCACACCCACTCACACACACACAAACTATGTCTCCTCAGTTGCAAGTCTAGAACAGTGCCGGAAATGCAGAGCGTGTGAGTGAGTATGTGAGCAAGAGCCAGGCCTGAGGACGTGAAATTACCAGTTTGTGTCGCTGAGTTTGCAGAGAAATCATGGGCAGGCCACAGAGATACCGAGGGGTGCGCCAAAGGCACTGGGGATCGTGGGTCTCCGAGATTCGCCACCCGCTTCTGTAAGTCATGCTCCTGTCTCCGAGCATACCACAGATCCTTTTTCTCCGATGACCATTGTGAGAATGTGGGATGTTGTTTTAGTTGGAATTTTTCGTTTATGTCTACATTGGTTGTTGAAGAGCTGGAGGACAACGTTTACGTCTACATTGTCTGTCCACGTTTTCCCTCCTCTTTGAACTCCTTATTTGTCCTCAGAATTCGTAAGTTGAGAGGCGGTGTTCTTTTGAGGTTAGAAGACTTGCATTGTAGAACCGGGAAGCTACATTGAGAGTGTAAGAATTTCCATGAAGAGAATGAAAACCGTTTTCGGAGCATTGTGTTGCGCGGGGGGGAGCGGGATTCCGAGTGGTGAGTTGGAGCAGTGAATTTGCGTCGACGAGATCTGCGTTTGACTGATGGCAGTTTGTGTGGCAATCTCTTTTTGCAGCAAAACGAGGGTATGGTTGGGAACATTCGAGACCGCCGAGGACGCGGCCCACGCGTACGACGAGGCAGCGAGGCTAATGTGCGGCGCGAGAGCTCGCACCAATTTCCCCTACGACCCAAACGCACCCAAAGGCCTGAACTCGCAGATGCTGTCAGCCACGTTGAGCGCGAAGCTGCAACGGTGGTACGTGCAGTCGCAGCAACGCGGTGGTGCGCAAGGGAAGACGAAAGACGCGCGCATGACACAGTCGCTCACTTGCCTGTGCCTCGACGCGGAGCAATCCAACCTCGGGATATGGCAAAAGAAGACGGGGAAGCAAGCGGAGGCCAACTGGGTAAGGAAAGTGCAATTCCGCGACAATGCCTCCCTCCATGCCGATTCACCGCAACCGGAAAATTCCAGCGGGAGTTCCATGTCGGAGGAGGACAAGTTCGCTGCCGAAATGATCGAAGAGCTCCTGGGCCACAGTCCCGGCCAATTCTCCGACTTCGGCTCGCCGGCTTTGTCTGATTCCAGCTGTAGCAGCAGTCCTTGCTCGGGCATCACCGCTGCCTCCAAGTGGGACGTCTCTCTCTCGCATTTCGATTGCATTTCGTCTTGAAGGAAAGAGCGTTTATTGATCTGCTGGAGAGGAATGGCGCACACGAAGGACGACTGGAGTCCTCGGTCGATCCTCCACCCACCATGAGTTTCATGAAACCTTTCATGTGATCCTGCCTCGGGATTTTTTTTTTGCAATTTGCCAACATTGCCAACAGTCGTTCATTACATCCGGTTGCGTGGTAACCCAGAAGTAGGTAAAAAGTAGAACTCTCACTCTCTCTCTCTCTCTCTCTCTCTCGCACTCTCTTTCTAATGTAGCTCGTAATCTGTTTCCACCTCCAGTTCCATGAGGTAGTAGAGGAACAGGACGAAGATGAGCAAGTAGCAAAGAGTTTTACGCGAGGGTGGTGGTGAAATACTAGGAGATGTTAGTACGTTTTGGTGACTGTCGATACAAAAGGGAGTCCTCTAGCACGGAGTGTGCACTCCTTGTTTAGACGTGACTCGGATGCGTTGCTGCGATGTATACATAGATGCGGCATCTGTCCCAATCAAACTCAGAAAAAACCTCAAATATCAACCTGTAATGTAGAAGTTGAATGTTTCTTCTTCTTCTTTTTCTCCCCCATTTCACTCCTCCAAGCTTTTTCACTACCTTCGTCCCCCTGCAACAGTTCGTGTTTATTTTACTCTATTTCCAATGATCTTATTCACGTTGTTTCGATGCTCCCTTTTTATCTCATAAAAGTAAAGTACACCTCGCAGCTGCTCGACACACACACAGACACACATGCAAGAGCTTGAACAGACATGCTGAAAAGTCTGTGGAAGAGATCCAAGATTTCTCGGAAGTGTGTGTACCGGGTGATTGAATACGGCGGCCTCCACACAAGTATTAGATCAACGCCGCGATTTTTTTTTAGTTAATTCAGGGACGGTCGCATGTTACAGAGACCAGTCACAATGCAAGTGCGGACAATGCCAACACGTTTTTCGGGAAGATTGGCAGATCCACGACCGATCTTCTTCTTCGTCTTCATGGTGCAGCGTTTTGAATCTGCAATGGATTTAGATACAGCGAAATTATCAAGCGCTATGAGGTATACCACCACAATATCGAATCCGAGAGTGGCCCACCTTGAAATATGTAACGAATTCCTCCAGAAAGGGTTTGCAACAGTATTTCGAGAGATAGAGCTTCATGATTATAACATTATTTCTTCAACTTAAAGGCAGATACTGACTGACCACTGATCCTTTTGGAGGGGCTTGCTTTTTGTGGGTCTTCCTAGGGCACATTTGTGCTGCATCCCCTGCTGCTGCATATCCAGAGCCTGACCGCCATGCCAGAGCTTTCTGCAAGAAAAAACAATTTGCCTGCCACTCGCTGCACTTGTACCGCAACCTTTTACTATTTCCACTGATTCTTCTTCCTTAAGCTTTGCATAAAACACAATCTGATGGTCAAGCAAGTGTTTTGTTAAGCAATCTACCACATGGGTAGTGAACCATCCTCTCATTGCCTTCAACACGGCATCATCACAAATATGATTCTACTTGTGCAATCTTTTAAAGCACAGTTTTATAACTAATTCGGGCGGTTCACATTCTTCGCAAAAGGAAAAAACCCATAGTGCTAAGTTCATGCTGCAGGGAAGAGCCCCCCTTTTCAATTGACTTTGCAGTCGATCAGAGCAAAAGTAGTGCCACCATCAGAAGGGACCCAAAATAAACCAACCCAACAAACAACGAGAGTAGTTGGAAGCAAAAGGGAAAAAAACATAAACAAATGGGCATTCTTCCACTCGAAGCTTGCATGCAGGTGCGTGAATCCAAACAAACGGCTGCAAAAGTGTCGACCCATTTCACTGAAACCTAATAATCTTCATGATAATCACCGGTTCTTTGAAACTCTTGCGAAGATATGACTCAGACATGAGAATGTGTTTTGAATTTGCTTTTATTAGCAACGAGCTCATGCATTTTAGGGTTAGGGTTTAGCAGTTCAGGATTTTGGTTGGTGGAGATGAATCGAAGATTCGCCTTAGGTGGGTAATTCTTCTTGCATTGAGTTCCAAGTTCTGGATTCAACCTAACTTTCATGAAATTATTTGTTCTATGAATCCGTTTGTGTTTATTTTAAGTTAGTTCTTGTTGAATTTTCGGTACAAGAAAGAGTATGAAAGATTTGCAAAAATATTGAGAGTTTAGTTTAAATTTTGTCATTTGGTGTTTTCTGAATATTTATTTTTTTAATATAATCATGTGACCCATTTTGGTTGCAGTTCTTTAAATCTTGTTTTAAAAATAAATACTCCCAGTTATAATAGTAGCTCTAATAGTAGGTGTTAAAATTTAAAGATAACTTAGAGGGTTAGTTTATAGAGAAATTACAAATGCCAATTGTAGGTGAGTGAATTTGGCAAAGGGTGACAATTCTTAAACAAGTATTTAGAAAATTTTGTTATTAAAAAGTAGCTTTAGAGCTTGTTAAAAAGAAGCTTTGTTGTGTTTATTACTATCTACTTTTTGTGCTCACCACCCTCTATTTGTACTTCAATGTATGATGTTGTACTCATGTGTTTGTTTTTTTATGGATCATTATGGTTGTCATTGTCCTTTCCTAGTAGCTCAATGTATGAAATATGAAGTTAATGTGTTCTTTCTTATTACCTTCTCATTATTAAACTCTGTAAAATTATTAAAGTGGTTTGTACTTTTTATTATTATTCTTATTGCACTTCATGGAAAGATCTTTGTGCCAAATCATACTTAAAATCATATATGAATATTATATGCAATAACCATCCTTATTTTCTCATAGTTATTTTTACATTGATTTTTGTAGAACATGCTTTTGAGAAGTCAATTTTTAGAAGAATAAGAGATTGTGTAGAAGATTTGGCCTAGCTAATTGTATCATATGTGAAAAACACATTATCAAGAATATACTGTTTGAAAAAGAAATTATTTTGGTTGAGATGGATTACTTCTATTAAAATTGCTTGAAGTCTCTTTTGGAGCACTTTGGTGTAAATTTAATATGTTTTGTTAAGAAGCATGATAGATCTTTAATAGATCTTTAATTGCCAAATATTGATTTGTCATCTTCTTTATGAAGTAGAGTTATATGTCTTTTGACAACACTTTGAAAAAAACCACCTTTAGCCAATTCTTGGTTAATTATTAAAATATAGTCTTTACCAATTATATTTCAAAATATTTAATATAATTCAATCTCTATTCCATGAAGGCTTGGCACCTTGCTTTTTGTCATTTCTTGTATAATCTCTTTATTTTATTATAATTAAATATGCAAGAAAGATCTTTATTTATTTTATCTTTGAACTTACTTTGGATTTGATTTAAAAGCACAATAGAAGTCTAAATTGAATCTAAGGAGCTTATTTATTTTTTGTTTGTTTGTTTGTTTGTTTGTTTGTTTGTTTTTGTTTTTATTTTTGTTTTTTTTAAATAAATAAAATAGAATAAAAAATATATATTTTAGGTTCAAATAGGCCTTTTTTTTATTATACCACAATTATTTATCTATTTATTTTTAATTCTATAATAATTAAACACAAATAATAATCTTTGATAAATTTAAAAAAATTCTTTGTTATTGCTATCATTCGCTTCTATCTACCAAATCCTTGATATAATTCTTTGTCCTTATTATTACCACTCTTCCAATTAATTTAGTTAAAATTAAATAGGCTTGAGATAGCTTTGTGCATCAAGGTCTTATGTATTTATATGTAAGTGAGCATGGACAAGCTCTAATTGACCTCTAAGTTTGATATATATAGAAGCTCTTAAGAATGCTTGTTTTTTATAAAATAACTCTTAAAATCAAACAAATATATCTATGTTGTGGAATCACAATCTTTCACAATTATGTTTTGTCCAACTTTTTCTAACTTTTTGAGGAACTTTTAGATCTTGTAAGAAAAATTAGTTTAATTTATAGTAAAAATATCTTAGTAAAGATTCTTAAAATTAGAAAGTAAAATTGATAGAAAAATGGTATAATAAAGTATTATATTTTTTTTAATTTTTTTAATTTTAAATTCGATTTTCTTGTAAGAAAAGAATATTTATTTAGAATCCATATAAAGTGCTAGTATAAAAATACTATCTTTTTTTTATTATTATATAAATAGTTTAATGTACTTCTTTATTTGAAGAAATATTGTAAAAAAAGATATGATTGAAAAAGCTTCTATTAATTTTTTTTTTCATATTATAATAAAAGTCTATGATAAAAAAATAAATTTTCATGTATTTTCACAACCATTTTTCTATTGTTACTAAATATTAAGAGAATATTAGAGGATGATGTGTTTGCTAAATCTACCTACAATTAACATTTTTCTTGTTGTTTATTATAAGCATATATATATATATTTACAATTCTAATAGAGTTTCTAAAGATATTATTAAATGTGATTCAAAAAACTCTATTGTGCATAAGTGTATTAATATTATTAATAAAATATTTAATTGTTAGCAATATAAGTATATTGACTTCCTTTACTTTCATACTATTAGAATTATTCATGTAGCTAAGTATATTGACTTCTTTTGCTTTTTTATTTAAATTTTATAGAGCTACATATAAAAAGATGGAATTTTATTTAAATTCCATCTTTTTTAAAAATATTCTACAAATTTTTATTTAATTTTATTCCTTAAATCAATATAATTTGTGTTTTTGGAGAAGAAAGACGTTCATATTGGAAAAATACTTTAGATATAATTTTGTAATTTTAAGACTTTAAAGGGATTATTTCGGCTATGCTCTTTATAAGATAAAATCCTCAATTTCATAATATAATAGAAGAAGGAGAATTACACTGTAGCTCTTCAATTGCCAATTTTCATCTAAGAGATTTAGAACATTTATGATCTTAAAAAAGATAATGTCTTTTTTCTTTTCTCTCCTCTCAAATCATTTTTAAACTTAAAAATCTTGGAAAAGAGAGAGCTTTGGAATTGCTTGCATTTTTATTCTTTCCTTTAAATTTAATATTAATAAGATTTAACTCAAACATATGGTTAAAAAGTATACTTACTTATTTGTGATAGAATTAAAAGGATTATTATTATTTTTTATTTATTTATTTTCCTAAAAGAATTAGAATCCTACATTTATTTCTTTTGAAAATATTAAGAGCTTCTAATTTTAGTATAATTTTTAGACTATAGATAACAACTTATATTATTTTTGATTGAAAACTATTATGAAAAGGCATGAAAGAAGTACAATTATATGTAGAAGATAATATTCCTTGAATAGTTGAGGCATGCAAGTATATACCACCCTCAAGCTATATATCCTTGCTATTCCTTGCTCCTTCTAGTATTGGAGATTCTACAATCTCAATCTCTTATTGAATATCAATACCATTAACTTTGCTCTAGTCAAGTTAGGAGGTCTTATTAATTCGTAATCTATCAATAAAATATTACTTGAATATTTTCCTTCTAAGCTATAGATTACTTAATATCTATTAAGTCCACTTCATTTTGTATTTGAGTCTATATTGATAACTTATAGATTATATGATTTAGACTAGAACTCTTTACTGCACTTAAAAGATATATGGAAAATTCTAGAACTTCAAAAACACAAAAATCATATCAATAGTTTTATTATATTGTTAGTTTGTATAAGAAGTTGCATTAAAGTATACATTATGCTATTGTGTTTCTATCACTAGATCATTTTGTGTAAGTATTGCACCATTGCCTTGATTTTCTTTTGTTATTTTGATATTGTTCCATGGTATTGTAATGTTTGAGTATTGTTTGTTATTAGTGACTAAACAAGAAATCTTGTTCACAATTTCTTACTTTGCTTGAAATTTGTTGACCTTATTTCTATAAAAATAGAAGTTTTTTTTTTTTTTTTTTTTTTTTTTTTTTGATGATAGTATTAAAATCAACTTATCACGAGATATGTTAGAGATCACTTGTAGAAACAAGCTCTCTTCATTAACCATATTTAACTTTGGTGCTAAAGAATTTAGTATTAGAATTGGTCCATTGTTACCTAATTCTAATATAGCTTCTTTAATCTTTGAGTCATGCCCACCACTTTGTAACATTTGATCTTTGTTAGTACTAGTGCTTGTAGTTTTTATGACATACATTTGCTCCTCTGTCTTTGGCTCTAAATCATTAATTAATTACTTGTTTCTAATAGAATTCATTATAATTTTAGTTGTTGTACCTAGTCGACCCTTTGCAACAAACTTTGTAGTGGGCCCTAAATTATTATGCAAATTAGAATTTAATTTCAGTTTGAATACATATTTCTTGGAATTTATATTTGGTCTCATTATGCTTGCATTGTACAAATGTGAATTCTTTAGAGTTAATTAGATTAACATCTAGCAAATTTTAAGTTGTAGTCAAGCTATACAAAATTACAGCTCTAGAGAATTTGTATTATTTAGACTATATTCCAAAACTTTGTTTAGATCAGCTATTATCTATAGAGAAATAAGAATAATTTTTTTGGAAGAACTTTAAATGCAATCCAGATTAGTGTCTTGAAGGAGCTCTTATAAGAAATCCTTTTTGGATTCTAGATTGCACAAGGATCAAAATTTGGATCCTATGAATGAAATATGCAAAATCCAAGTTTCAAGTAATATGGTAATTGTATCAAAATTTGACAAGTAATTTTCTTAGACAAAGTTTTTAAATACAAATAACCACAACCAAGGTTCTTGCCAATAGATATAATACCTTTGGTGGTTTTTACAAGTCCTTCCTTCTATAATTAGAAACTCAAATCCTTCAATTTTCTTACAACAAAGCATGTAATAATAGTATTTTGGCAAAGTTTGGTTGCTTTAACTTGAACTGATTCTTCATTCATTGCAATATTAAGAGATTTTGTATGAACAAGAAGTCTAATATAACTCCAAGTAAAACTAATTGGTAAAGACTTACCTAGAGAAGGTTTAGTAGGATAAGAGCAATCTTGTAAGAGTAGATATCATAAGTTTAGTAAAACAAGGATGCAATCTTACAATGCAACCCAGGCTATGCCTATGGGCCCTCCTAAACAACTACAATATTTGAAATCCTAACTTAATAGACTACCACTACCACACTATGTTCCTTGTCATTCTAACAAGATTTGATTCTTTTTATTTGATGGATTTTATTTGATGATATTTTAGATAGCATCATGAAATCAAAAAATTAACAAGGATTTAAAATAAATATTAGAATTTAGAGAGTATTAATTGCAAGAAGTGAAAATTTAAATACTTTAAACTCTTCCGATTTCAAAGTGCTAAAAGACACAAGATTGCAAGGTGCAAATAAAAATAAAATTGTAGAGTACCAAGTAAAAGTTGATAATGAAACAGTAAAATTTGTAACATTTTTATTTTTTTAAAATGACATCTTTCTGAGAACATTCCCATGCTGAATAAATAAGAGATGTTTTAGCACCCCTCTAATCCTTAAATGAATACAGATAGTTTTTTTTTGTTCCAGCAAATTCATGTTCAAAAAGATACAGCAAAAAAAATATTTGAAAGAAATTAAAATATAGATTAGGTGGGTTAGAGAGAAAACAATTGTTCTGTTACTAAAATGGAAAAAAATATGAAGAATCAAAAATAAATATTATATATATATATATATATATATATATAAACATTACAAATCTGTCATCAATCCATAATTTTTTAATATTAAATCTTACAAAATTCTTAAAATATTTTGGCAGGTTTCAGCATTACTTGAAAAGTTGCAAGTCTTAGCACAACAATTACATCAAACCAAGTGGAATAAAATTGCCGCAAAATGAATTTTAATACAAATCTAAATACATGATTGATATTAAGCAATTGAACTTATAGAACACATGAAATCAAATCTTCTGATTGGGCGCCATGGTCAGCAGAGATACAATATGCAAATATGCTAGTTCAATATAAAATGGTGAGCAAAGACTTGCTCCACTGTAAATCAGTTTAGTAAGATTTGAAAAGATCATTTGTAAAAACAAAACGAGTGATTGTATAACCACAAAATCACAAATAGCAATATTTCCTTCGTAATGCCTGTAGTATATGAATAAAGCATACAATATTAAAAACTGATAATTTGATAGATAATCCATTTCAATGCTACAGAAAAGACTATATTTCAACTTGTTCGCCAATACATTGTCTGCTAAAACATATATTTCAACACCCCTAATCATTTCATAATATCATGTCACATTTACTTATTTGTTTCGTTATTTGTTTATCTTGGCGTTTCGTTTCAACAAAACATGTCTCAAGCATCTACTTACATCAAAAACAGAATAGATCATTTCTTCAAAACTAACTCCAAGTAGACACTACCAAGAAAAAGTTGTCCCATACTTCTACATTAGACTGTCCTGCTAAACTCACAAATAATATAAAGTTATCCACAGTTATATCAGGATCTATTTAAAAGGAAGGTTGAGTAATCCAGTTGCCAACGATTAAAAAATCCCTTTAGCAACAAAAAGCAAGAGTTCACCGTTCACAAGCAGAAACAAAACAAAGCATTGCATGTCAAGCATGAAACCATCATCTGAATCCCTGGAGGCAGAGTTGCACTATGATCACTGACAGCCCAATACATTCAAGAGAAAAAATTTACAAGACAATCTGATGATATAATATAATCAACTTTGTTCAGAAGACTATCCTCACAGATACATTGGAAGCAAGCAAGCATCACCTCAGAAAATGATGCGGAACTTGGGAGCTTCCTTGCCCCCAGAGGGCAGAATTTCCCACCTGCAAGGCTCCATTTCATCTGAGACAGGGCAGTATCCTGCTAGAGTAACGCCATCGTCACTGCTGGACCCGAATTCGAATACACTTGTTTCGGATTTGAAAGCTGCGTTGATGTCAGGTTTGGGAGGTTCGGCTATGGCGGGTGACTCCAAGTTGGGTTTGCTTGGCTGGGGAGCGGGTGGAAGAGTCTCCTCTGCTTTCTTCTTACGTCCAAAAAATCCCATGGTGGTGAGTTAGTGATGGTTTCTGCATTTCCAAAGTCAATTGTCAGGGAAATGTTGATGACCAAAAGACGTTACTGTCACGCACTTGGAGCCAGAATGATTTCTTCAATTAAAAGGCTCCCGAGATTGGTGATTTGATAACAACCACTCGCGAACGCCTTGAACTAGCGCAATACTATATCAACAGTTGCCAATCTCTACAAACTAACATCTAATTCATGAATTTGCAAACAAGCAAACAGAAAAACAAAAACGAAAAAACCTAGGGGCAGGTCGCTAAATCTCAATGGCTTCTCACGGTAGTTCTCACACACAAAATTCCTGAACCAGATTAGGATGCGCTGTAACTGCAACCAAATGGTAACCCTAATGACTAAACAGCACAGAGCACGATAACAAAAAAAAGAAAAGAAAAGAAAAAGGGTTTCGACAGAACCGCAAAGGCAAAACCACGCACGTCGAAAAGTTTCAATAGGACTACGAAACTAGGGCAGGAATGCGTAGTGGCAACAAATTTACACAAATACCTAAAATCCTGGACGCAGGGGATAAGCAAGACGGTGCTCCCCAGCACGATGGCCCGGGTGGGTTTCACTCCGTCAAAGCCTCGAGAGGTGACGTGAGCGAATGAACCCTGGTGCTCATCCACGAAGGGCGGCGGATGGAGGTGGACCAGACTATTCTCGGTGTAAAACAGGCAAATATAAATGTGCATTTCACCACGCAAGCAGGATATGTTATTGACGTGGATTGCAACCGTTACATATCATTTCTGCACATACACCCGAACTCTTCAACCTGAGAGGAAGAAAGAAAGAAGGAAAGAAAGAAGGAAGGAAGGGGAGGAGTTTGTGAAGCCGTTGTCTGTCGTAATCTCTCGCTCCATGGATTTTTTTTAATTCTTAAGATTCTCATTGATGCCTTCATTGCCGTGGTGGGTCTACATACAGCTACACGATCCGAGTCCGTCTTGGAGGAATTGCGTGTGAGAGCGTTGAGTTGGGTGATGTGAGTTTGTAGTGGAGCGTGTGAGATCTGTGGGTTGTGTGAGTTTTGAGGAGTTGTTGTTTCATGGTGGGTTGTGGGTCGGAGTTGTGGGAATCGTGAAGGTAACAGAGGATTGAATTGAATTGGTGAGAAGGAAAACCCCTTTGATGGCATTTTCGATGAGTGCAAGAGTGGCGACAGGCGTTGGCAGTGGAGGTTGTTGCATGTTGGGTGCGTCGGTGAGAGCGTTGAGTGTTGCGACGACTGTGAGCCCGCGCGTTCCTTGTGGTGGATTGTGTGTAGGGGAGAGTAGGGATTTCCACTGTGGTGTGAAGATCCCGCCTGTGTTTCGTGATTCTTCTCTCTTTTCTAGGTGGGATGCGAGTCCGCTCAGGAAGAACAGACAGATGGTGCGTCGGGAAGGCTCTTCGGTCGCCACGAATGCCTTGCGTACGACTGCGGACTCCGGCCAGCAAGAAGTGCGTGTTTCTTTTTTAATTTTTCCATGGTCTCTTCTTCGCATGGCAGTACTCGGGTTACGATCTTTGACTGATGGTAGTGCTAATGTGTCTCGCATGCAAGTGTGCGAGACGGGTTGCTTGTTGCGTTTTTGTAGTCTGATTTTGTTTCAATTGCTGTAGATTATCAGTGCTGCTTGTAAAGTTGAGATCCGCCATAGAGAATGACATAGTTGGTTCAATTATTACGAGTAATTTTCACGATGTATTTCATTTTGGAGCCTTGCTTAAATAATGCTATTCACAGGTACAACCGCCGGTGCCATTGATGCGGAGTCTCTTGTCGGCAATTGTGAGACCTTATTTAACGAAAAACCCCACAGCTGTGGCCGCTCTCGATCTCATTCGGAAGCACGATGGCGGGCCCGTCTGTTATGACCATTTTGCATTCCGAACGTTTGGGGTATGCTCGTTTTTGTTTGATTCCTCGTGAGGAGCTTTGTTTCAGAGATTCCCTTTCTTCTATTATCGTTTCATTGACAAATTTTCACGGGATTTTGATTTTGAAAACACATGTACTGCCCGCTCAGCAGCGCTGTTTCACTTACTCAGTTGTTTGCACTGAGACGGAAGTATCAAATTGGGGATTGAAGTTTATCATGCTCTTTCAGGTTGATGGATGTGGAATAGATGCTATGTCTCAAGTGTTCCTTGATCTTGGGTACAAAGTCCGTGATGAGCTGCGATTTCCAGCCAAAAAGTTGCGTGCGCTCTGGTTTTCACCACCTGACCATCTGCTGGACATGGATGGTAGTGAAGCCGATGGTCCCCTCCCTCGAATCTTTATCTCTGAAATTATCGTAAACCAACTGAGCAGTGAGACCCAGGTAAAAGGATATCCTTAACGTTGTTCACAATGCTTCCATCCACTGATGAAATAGTTTTCCCTGCCAAGAGAGCGACTATTTTTAAGAGATGTATTCTGTTTCGTCTTCTACATGAGAAATGTTCACTTATGCTATTTGCGAACTTACAATCGTGTAGAAGGAACGATTTGTTTTGTAAGCGATTTGAAATTAGCTAAAGCCCTTAGAAGTTCGTAACTATATTGCAGGAAATCATAAGGCGGTATACTAGTAAGTCGGGCTCTATCTCTAAGCATGCGGCTACTGCAAGCGTGCTGAATTCTTTGACGTGGCCCACTCCTCACTTATCCGACTATCACGCTCTTGCAAAGTAAAGAGACTTTTCTGCAGTACATACTTACCTTCACTGATCCTACTGCCAGTGCTAAGCGCTAGGGGGGGGGGGGGGGGGGGGTTTGTTGATATGAAAATAACCTCGTTTCGTCCAAGTAAAATGAGTTTTTTATTGACTTGGCAGGGAGAGCGAATACGCAGCGTGGACACTGGTGAATGGCTACGCACTAAACCACACCACTGTGTCTGTGCACCGGCTTGGATCCCTTCGAAATATTGAAAAATTGAATGACTTTCTCCAGGAGAATGGCATCAAGCTCAACAGTGAAGGAGGCATATTGAAAGGTAACTTCGCAAAACTCGTGATTTGGAGGCTGGATCTTTTTGGCAGAGGACGACGATACTGACGTTCGTCTTTTGGTTGATCAGTCAGTCCAGACGGTGGACTGCAGCAGAGCTCATCGGTTGCTGATACAGTGACTTTTACATTTGCTGGCGGTGAAGTGGAACAAGTTCCTGCATCATACATTGAATTTGCCGAGCGCCTTGTCCTTCCCATTCACAGCGACCTGGATGCAGATCAGGTGTGTAATCTTATTACAAGCGAATTTTATGCGACTGCTTCTGTTTGCTTGTGAATCTTTTCCATGTTCGAGAATTTCTGTGAATTTCTGAGGCTTAGATCTTTGCCGTTCGTATGCTCTTCTCTTCCGAGCAGAATTAACATTAAATTTCACTGTGGCCATATACTGTTCGACATTGCATTTGAGCATCTGTTTTCATGCAATTTGATCAAAGCTATTGCTTCCAGATCCACGAATGGCATCGTCGAGATGGTTTCGAAGTGGGCAACGCTGATAAAATATTTGAAAGCACTTCCTCGGATCAAACTGGGATGCGCAATCGTTAAAAAGTTGCGTGGAAGTAGGAATAAGTGCCCGCATGTGTTGTGACTTGTATTCATACTGTAATTAAAACTTTATTAATATTTCTCCTCACATTCCTCTCACTATTCGTCGTGTCGAAGTAGATGATCATTACTGGTTTCGTCATATTACTATCGCGCAGGAATCAATATTATTTTTGAGCAAAGGGTCGAGACACAGCACACATGGTCACAAATATGTGAAGCAAAATTATAAAAAATGGATAGTTGCAAAAAATGATCAGACCCAAGCGAAATGGTATTTGATATTTATCAGCACAGCAGTGCCTGAAGAAACAGCATCAGCTTTATAAAGCAGAATGCGGATTATCATTTGGATCTTATGTTCACGTAGATTTAAAGCCTCAATTGACGACCCAATCCTTTCGTACCTAAATCTGTTGCAAAGTTCCTGAAATAAAAACCTCGTATGTAAACAAATAATGTAGGAGCTACTTGGTAACCAGTCCCCACCTGCCAAACGAAGAAACTATAGCACCCCATCTGCCAATTACATCATATCTTTTAGTCGTGAATTGAATCTCTTCATCCAACGTCGTTACGGAACTACGACTGACCCCAAACACCAAGCAAATTTCTGCTTTCAGAGAGGCATAAAGAACCCTTAGCTCAATTTTGCCTCACCGAAGTCTGGAGTGCATAAATCACCAACAGAAAATCTAACGCAACCTGGTCGCCTCTACCAAAGTAGCGAACTGGTCATGTATTGGAACAATCAACAAAGATTGTGAACATGGACAATAAATCTCAGTGCTGGAAACTCTACTCCATGCCTACGCTGTCCAACCTATCCAGTGCTTGAAGCTCATATATTTGTCGGATATTACCAGAGGCTGCATATATAGCACAAAACACAATTAGCACCAGGAGCTTAGTTGCAATAAAAACATTGTGAGATATTAAAGACAACGATGATAAACCGGCAATGAGATTACCAAAAAGCCAGTCGCGGAAATGCCCATGAATAGCCAAAATCACCCCCCGTTTCTTCCCTTCCTCAAGCGTGATGGTCTTCAGATTTTGCTTTAGATTCTCAGCTGCTTTACACTGCTCATGACAATACGAAGTACTTGAACCTGGTATTTCATTTACGACTTGACCAAACTAGACAGTACGCAGCTTATTGTTGGATACACAATTTTATGATGAATACTCTTCATCATGTGAACCCTTCGAACCCCCTCACAGCAAGTGGTATGAAATCAGTCTTACCCTGTGCTGCTGAGCAAGAAGATATGGCTTGGGTAGCAAGAAAGGATTAGCCCGAGTAAGAAGCATCTCAGAATCGGCTTCATTCCACCTAGGAACCTATGAATGCCAGTGAAACCAACGTACAAATTATTTCAAAACCCAACAAACTTGAAGGGTTGATTACAGTTATAAAAAGCAAATACTGTAAATTTATATTAAGATGACAGAAACAGAGCTACCCTTCAAATATAAGAATGAATTTACACGTAGAAGCCGCACTCTAGAACTGACCAGAAATATATTTACATACCGAAAATGTCATAAATTTCTCTGGTGAGAGTAGAGTTGCTCCTTCAGATCGTGTATCCGTACAATCAGCAGGATGAATAAAAGCATCATGAGGGTCTACCATCCCCAAAGTCAGTAACCGGTCCCATCTATTAACTGTAGCATCAACTCCAACTTGTGCCAAATGAGCTTCCAATTTTGGATAGAACGTATTATATGGAGCCACCTGCTTGACACCACAAACAAAAGCAGATATCGAAACGGCGATCAACATTCCAGGAATTGATTCAAGTTGATTTAGAATGAAATCTTTGCAATTGTGAATGGCTGCATCCTGCCGGACCGATGTGTAATGTGCTCAACTTAATCTGATTCTCGTGGACAGGCACAAAGAGCAATTGTACCTGGAGGTTGTGATTATCACCAGTAAACAAAGGACGTTGGTTCACTCCAAGATAAAACGTACACTCACGGCAATTAGCGATAGTAATACGAGCTGTCGGGACAATAAGTTGAACTCTCTCGCAGTACTCCACCCGAACTGCCTGCACGTTTTAGAGATTAAGCTTAGGACCAGGCTGCAATTTAAGAGAGCTATAGATAGCATGGTTAAAAGCATCGCCTCACCTCCAGAACAAAGCTGCTCTAGCACCATGTAAGAGCCTTGCTTTAAGGTAAGGTCACTTAGAGGATTAAAAACGCAGTCAACAAAAGTGGTACAGGTTCGAACGACTTTCGAATCTAATATATGATTCAGTTGAGAAGCCGATCACCAAATTGAAAAGAAAGGAGCAAAAAACAGGTGACTCACCTTTCCAACAGCTCCTAGTACAATGATGGAGTCCGAACAACCAAACACCGAGACATATTTAAGCGGTGCAAGAACATACACAACTGCATCATGACAGTGAGATACCTGCAAAAGAATCAAGATTTTTTGGTCTTTTAGATGATCCTATTTTAAATCAGTGCTCAAAACTTACACATTCAGTTCCTAAAGAAATTAGTTATCAACGATCCATTTCAAGCATCGCAGTCATGGAATTGTGAAAAAGTTGTGTAATCAAACCACGAATATTTGAGCGTCCAAAACCTGGAAAACTCACAATTTTCACGAAACTCAGGAGATTGGGAATGGTTTCTACCTTCACAGAATCGCCCTTGATATCATCTTCTCTCCTCAAGACTGATGCCCGCATGACCCCATCCACAAAAGTCGTACCCTCCGGGCGCCAGTCTTTCGACAAGTGCAGTACTCCATTTGGTACAAGAATAGTTTGGGCACTAGATGCCACATTAACAGAACTGACAGAAACGTCAGCCATTGTCACATCTGCGGCCTCTGATGGTACGCTCTCTACAGAACCACTCTCTGAGAGATGAATATCAGTTACTACCTTCTCGACTTTGCCCACAGGGATTGCTCGCAAACTTTCTGATGCAGCACATATGTGCTGTTGAACCCATTCTAGAACTTGCGTTACGGGCACAGGAGCTGCCGGCATGTCTGGGTCTGAGTTAGCGAAAAAAGGCGCTGCCTGACTTAAGGGCACATACTCTAAGCTTGCATTTTTTGCTTTCAGAAGAAGTCCAAGGTGCTCAAACTTCTTGGCAGTTATAACCTGATAATAACGAAAAATAGCTGCAATATAAGCCGCTTAAATGCTACTGAGGAATTTACATCTGCAACTGAGATGACTGGATAGTTCTATCCCACAACGAGCTAATTGCAGTAGAAAAACTTTGAGGGTATTCAGCAATATGCTAATTAAGTAGAAGAGAAATCTTAAACAACACATGCCAGAAGAGACCTTAATGCATATCAACCGATGCTGCAAATGAAAAGAGATTCTACTATACGTGAAATGCACGAAAGAGCATTGTTTTACCTTGCAACAGCCTTCCCCTTCTTCGGTTGTTTCTGCCAAGAGGCTTAGGAGATTCGGTAAGTGCTTCTGCACATATGTAAGCTGGTTGACTTCCTCCTCTGCCTGACCTGGCATCGAACGTCGGGACACTGTAGATGATCTCACCTGCAGGATATCTCAAAGCTTGAGAAGTGTGCCCATCTAAGAACCTGCTATTTGAAGGAAAAACTTACGGAATTATATTCAGGACAAAGACATCTTTGGCATCCAGGTTCCTCAAAACCTACATCTGTTGCGATCAGCTAAATGCAGCTTCAGGCCTGTGGGGATATCTGAAAATTGTGTAAAACTAACCGAAGTCATGTGCGAATTTCCTACTTCATAATTTTTAGGGCTTCACGCAAAACCTACATCCGGTTCGTCTGCCAAACAAAATATGACCAACGTTTGATTGTGCTATTCGGTCTTCAAATTGTAACTCAGTTTGAGGTTCTAAGCCATACTGTATAAAGGTGCACACTCCATTCGAGGGAAAACAACATGAAGAACGTTTTGTGAAGTTTAGATGGGGACCTGCATAGGAGACGGGGAAGGAAGAAATCTATCAATTGCAGAGGTGGAAGGCCACACATCAGCGACATCAGCAGCACCTCGGTGTGGGCGAGACGGAACCCTTCGATAAGTTTGAATGTATAGAAATATCAATAGATCGTCAACATCAACACCAACGGAGTCGATTTCGGTCGCTGGTGCGATGGCCAGGGAGTCCACGACTCCTCCCTCCTCGTTTAAAACAGATGCCAAGGTGTCGAGCATCAACTGCGCATGCGCTTCAGTAACTTCCAAGGCAGTTGCTATGCCTGCGGTGGCCACGCGTTTCCTACCGCCCGAAGCTGGAGAGGTATACGACGCATCCGAACTGATGCTCAAAGACCATGTAGAAATGGGAGGAGCCTGTTGGAGCAATTTGACCCGAAAGTTTCTCAGACCTGTCACTACATCACTGTGCACAAGGCTGGGAAGTGGCAGGATGCCATACTCGAACACCTCTCGTCGTACATGAAGCCATGGTGGATCCCGTGCTACATCTGTGTTCTTGGTTGCTGCTGTTCCAGCACTCATCTTCCCCACTATCGTATCCCCCTTCTTTCACTCAAACTTCAAAAAGAGATAAGCCAATTTAACCCTGTATGATAAAGGCACGCAAAGTTATCAATTGAAAATATATGCTTATTGATGGAATGAAACGAAATGATATGCAGTCAGTTTCACTGTAGTCCACAAATCCTACCTCTGTCCCACGAAAACAAGTTCAGACCTTCAGGAGCTTGATCCAAATTCAGCATGACAGTCCATTTGTACCAGGTACACGGATTGTAGGAGTTAAAAAATTCTAGAGTGAATTCAACTTTCACGATAAACTTTAAGCAGATCACTCCAATTTCACTCGCATTACACAAGAAACTGAACATAAGACACCTTTTCAGGTCCATCGGCTGACATTACCTATATTTCATTTTCAGAATGAGCCGCTAACCGCGCCAGCTCCAATTGTGATCTCTGCAATAGGTGTAAATACATACATCTATGGCATTGTAGGCAGTGGCACCAGTCTCAGACCAGAGGGTCCAGAAAAATTTAGACCTTTCTCGTACCCGGATGATGTGTACACAAGTCGAAGCAAACTCCGTTTGATCTCAAAATCTCATGTTAACATAAACCCCCCCAATATTGTCACCCAAACGAGGCGATTACATCCTTGGATTTAGGCCCTGTTCATAAACAAGAGGGTCCAACACCCCCGTGACCCAAAACAAAGATATTTCGCATTCAAACTGCACGATATAACACCTTCCCCGCGAAGAGCACACAACCTAACCCTAAAAAGCAGTTAATCAAAAACAAACACGCCCACACAGTGCATGCACTGTCACACCGCCAGCCCACGAGAAGCACCAATCTTCCGGGTTTCCAACTGCATGAGAAATCAAACGCCAACACCTACCTACGGCACTACGTTAACAACTCCTCATCACCACCCCAAGATCCATCCCTGCTCAAAACCTCCCATTCCACGCCGGCCAATCACTCAAACCCAGCGCAATCACTCTGCCTCTGCATTCGGTCCCTGTTTGAGATCACACACGCTGAAATCTTCGTCCTCGCACACTCTCAACACCTTCTCCCCTCTCCAAAACGATCATCACCCACAAACCTCCGCTCACACACTCCACCACGTCGCAAGCTCCTACTCGCGGCTCCCTCCACCTCAGCTTCAATCCAAATCAAGCGCACAAGAGAATATGCACACAAGAATTCAAACCCAGGGAGATAGTTAGTGCAGCAATTGCTACAGCGACTGAGTAAAAGCAGGAGAAACTACGGCTGGGCAGGGCAGGGGGGGGGGGGGGGAGAGGAAAGCGGAGCATCTGGCTGGCTTGGGCGGAGTGTGCAGGGCAGATCCACGGAGACAGACGGAGTCAGAAGAAAGCAGCACGAAGACACGGGCACGGATAACGGAGCCTCTCACTTCCCAACTGCGCTTCCAACCATGTGCCTATCTGCGCTCCCTTTTTGACGAACGCATCGCATCCACTGCGGCTTCCATATTGGATGAATGAGGTATGGTTCGATGAGGATGAATGGGTGAGGACTGGATGTGGATGGCTGGATGGGGCTGGATCGAGTGGATGGATGAGGAATGGATGAGGATGGGTAGATGAGGACATGGGGATGGATGGGGACTGGATGAGGATGGATAGATGAGGATGTGGATGAGGATGGATAGATGAGGATGTGGATGAGGATGGATAGATGAGGATGTGGATGAGGATGGATAGATGAGGATGTGGATGAGGATGGATAGATGAGGATGTGGATGAGGATGGATAGATGAGGATGTGGATGAGGATGGATAGATGAGGATGTGGATGAGGATGGATAGATGAGGATGTGGATGAGGATGGATAGATGAGGATGTGGATGAGGATGGATAGATGAGGATGTGGATGAGGATGGATAGATGAGGATGTGGATGAGGATGGATAGATGAGGATGTGGATGAGGATGGATAGATGAGGATGTGGATGAGGATGGATAGATGAGGATGTGGATGAGGATGTATGGATGATGATTGGATAGGGGTATACATCCAATGAATGAAGTTTATTGGTGTGATGGACTGTACAATGATGTGTGAATCCTCAAAGCATATTATTTGTTGAAATTTTGCTAAAAATGTGAATTGATCAGGTGTCTGTTACATGGTGGTGATAAATGTGGATCAAACACTTAAATGGTAATATATATCATCAGAATGCAAATATATGTGTATAAAGAGTTATACATGAAAGAAAACATTATGCTAGTCTAATGTGGTTATTTTAATTAATTTTTGTGATTATAATAACGTAACATGTTTCTATTTCTGGAATTTTATATGGAATAAATTTTAAAGTTTTAAACAATAAAATAAAATAAAATATTTTTCAATAACAAACTAGACCAAAACAATATTCAATCAAATTATTTTTTGCATGCATACAAGAATCAGTAGTTGTTTTAGTGAGGATTTTTAGTATGTGTACTATTGTATTTTAATATGGATTTTAATAAAAATTTATTGGTGTTTTATATTTATTAATTTATTTTTAAAAATAAATTTTAATTTGAATAAGAAGAAGAAAAAAATCTTAATAACATTATGAATCCTTTTTTATTATAGATTTTGGTATAATTGCAAAAGTATAGGAACACTTAACATCTCTAATATGATTTATATTAGTTTCATTCTTTTTTGAAGATTCGAAATTACTATAGAAGGATTTGAAATAAAAATTGGTATTTTAGTGTAGCTGAATGTTTGAACTTAACATTATTGTAGAGTAATTAGAAGAGGATCAATCTTTAATGCAGGTAATCAGTAAAGGTGTTTAAGTTTAAAATTATTTTCCAAATATTTAGATAAAATTTTTAAATTTTTTGTACTTGTTTTATTTTACTATTTTTTTATTTATATATGTAGTTAATTATTTAAGTTGGTCTATAGTACTTAAAAGAATATATATATATATATATATATATCATAAAATTTCACATGTTGTACAAAATCAGACATAAAAATTTCCACAAAAACAATATACAATTGATGTCTATTACACTACAAACTATAGCACCACTTTACATGTCTAATTTATGCTATCTATGGGTTTTATTTTTATTTTTATGTACAACATAGTATTATGTAGAATTATCAAAATGTTTTGTTATCTAATATTTTTTTAAAATTATTAATGCTACATCTCCAATATTTAAAAAAATATATATGACCGTTAATAATCTCCTCGTAGACAATTAGTTAATAATATGTCTCTTTTTGTTGCTCACTTTTTCCTTTCTTTGCTTTATGATAGGATAGTGGTTGAGAGGGAGACAATGAATATTTTATATTTTTTTAATATTTTTTTAATTTTATTTTTGGAATCTATTTTTTTATTTATTCTATTTTTAGATCAATATTGGAATTAAATATTGGATTGCTAAAAGTGCCATAAGTATAGAAGAGCATTTTTTAGTCAGTTTTAGTTGTAAAAAGGTCATGTAGAGTGTAGCAGTATTAATTGGAGATTTAGCATGAACAATTTCTATTATATATAAATTTCTTGAGTTGATATTTAAATAGATTCAAGACTTTGTTTCTTTAAAAATATTTAAGTAGCAAAAAAATAAAAAATATACATATATAAGATTATAATATATTAATTTTATATTTTTGTTTTTAAAATCAAAGTTACAAAATAAATAATGGTAAGTGTTATATATTTCTAGAATTGATTATATTTATTAGAAAAATGTAAAAAAATTAAAATATAATTTTTTATAACAATTAAAGGATACTAAATTTCTATTGATGAATTGTTTTTATTTATTTTTATTTGTAGACAAACTTACAACAAAAGGTGGCTAATTTGTTACAAATATGATTTTAATGAATCTCTCATATGTTCAAATTCCATGTTTGTATCTAATATCTATTTATAATAAAATAAATCATTTAATTTTTATATTTTTTATTATAAGATATCTTTAAAATATTAAATATTTAATTTTAGTAAGTATAAAATCTATGACATAATAAATATTATGATATTTATATTTTATATATATATATATTTTAATATTTAAATTAATTTTTTTCATATAGAATATTTTAATATTTAAAAAATTAATTTTTTTATTTAGTATTTAAAAAATATTTTTAAAAAATTAGTTTTATATTTAATTCATAATTAAGAATAAATAAATACTTAATTTTTTTTTGGTAAGAAATCCAAAATTATAATTTTTATGTCTACTTGTTATACTTCACTATATTTTCTACAATAATAAAATATTATTTGTTTAATAATTTATTTAATCATATATAGTTTTGTGCTTGACCTTAATCTTTTTCTTACAATACAAAATTTTTGGACAACAACCTTAAAGTAAGTAAGTATATTTTTGGCATGTTTATCATACTTGTAGTAAAATTATAATATCTTTAGGAAAATGATAAAATGATCCAAATTTTTACTAAGGCAACCCATCCTATCTTAAACACCATTGTGCCTTTGGAACCCCCATTCCTATTCTCAACCATTCTTTATTCCCAACCTTTGCCAGGGATGGGAGCAAAAGGTTGGAAATATTGGAAACAACTAGGAGCAGGGCATGTGGATTGATTTAGTAAAAATTTGGGTTGCTTTATCATTTTTCTATCTTTTATTTTTATTTTTTTAATATATATATATATATATATTAAAGGATTTAGAAGTATTTTTTTAATATATATATATATATATATATCAAAGGATTTAGAAGTATTAATTTTAGAAGTTTTAAAACCAAAGAGGAGGTAGAGAAGTATCCAAGGAATATTTAAGTAGATTATTTTTTTATTTTGAGGTTAATTTTTTTCAATAAACTAAGGCTTCGAATATCCATTTTTTTTTTTTTTTTTTTTTTTTTTTTTATAGAGCTTGTAAACCTTTTCTTTCTAAGAGGTTAATTAAGGATGTTTGAAATTTGATCTTGAGATAGAATGTATTGTATGTTGACCACTTTTGTGAGAATATTTTTGCAGATATAATGCAATCGCAATTTGATGTGCTTTAATTGCTCAAGGTAGATTAAATTTTGAGTACATTTCAGGGTACTTTGATTATCACTAAAGATGGTATTGGAATCCAATTCCACTCCATAAATTCTTGTGGATAATAATCAGAGCCAAATAGCTTTGCAAATACCTTCAATTAATGTCTTTGCTTTTACATTGGTGGAAGAGACGGCAATTGTTTCATATTTCTTTAATGACCACAAGATTGATCCACCAATTGATTTAAAAATTTAGCTTGCTATGGATTTTTTTGTCAAATCTATAATTGGACCAATTGAAATCAATATATTATATTATAATTAGATTATTATTTTTTCCATAGAAAATTTCAAAATCAAATGTGCTTTTAATATATCTTAACACTTAATTTGCTGTCTATAAGTGTAGTATTCTTGCATTGTATATAAAATGATTTAACATCCATATTACATAGAATATTTTTGGCTTTGTATCAATGAGGTATATGAGCATTTTAATTAGGCATTAAAAATTATTTCAAGATTTGTAGATTATAAGTCTTTTGTAATATGAATATTCGTTGAGCTAGTTGTATAAATTCCATACTTAAGTAAAAAACAAATTTGTCCAAGTATGTCATTTGAAAATGACTCATCAATTCTTATTTAAATTATAATATTCTTATTTTATTAGATCTTGTTAATAAAAAGTCATGTACATAAATTATTAAGATGATTAATTCTTATGAATCTCTAATGCAAAATAAGTTGTAATCAGCTTTTGTTTGTAAAAATATTTGTTTTTTTTGAATATTATTTATTTTTTAAATTAAACATGCTATTGTATAATATATTGTCTTATTTGGAAATGCATTGGGCATCTAGTTGTGAAAGGTGGAATTATGTTTTACAAGTGTCCAAAAATCCTAATATTTTTCATTCTTATAAGAAAAATGTAATTTGAATTTTAATTCAAAATTACTTAAATCTAATACAAAGTACTCAAAAACACTCTTCTTAATAATCTCAACCATACATAAACTCCAATTTTCTTGTTTCTTTTATAATTAGGTAATTTTGAATATTTTTATAAATCTTAATCCTAATTAGTAAGATTTAGCAAGCTGTATCTTCTAATTTAATCATCCACTTAGAGCAAAAGTTTGCACATAAATGCCACTATAAGTTTCCTATGTGCTTAAAAAGAATTCATTCCAATCTAACTTACAAATTGTGAGAAAACATCCTTAAACCACACTAATGTTACTTAACCACCAATTAGAAAGTTGAT